TATCTAGAGCTGTCAATCTATCATCTTTCACAAGAATAAAAATTTTACACTGTCTACATGGAAGGTTTTCTATCACTAAGAAAACATCTTTCTGCTCTCAAAAAGGCAGTTCTGAAGGGAAATAAGTAGGAGCAGCAAGAGGAAATTAAGCAAAGGAATATTTAGACAGAATTGAAGTCAACTTTTCTAATGCCATAGTCTGGATAAAGTCTCCAAAAGGAAAAAACCAGTTCCATGATGTGGTACGGTTTATTACATTAAGAGAGTTTTACCAGAAGCCCAACAGAAACTGTTGTGCTGCGCTGAGGGACATGGTTTAGTGGTGTTAGTAGGGCTAGGACAAAGCTTGGACTCAATCTTGAAGGTCTCTTCCAACTGAAATTTTTCTTTAATTCTATGATTCTAAGCCTAGAACCAAAATCCATTCTACAGCAGGTAAGGGATTACTGAAATCTCCCATACTCCAGCACTTTATCTAAAGACAATAAAATGCCCAGATTTCTAAAATTTAATACACAATGGCTGTCAAAGTTGACGCTCACATTTCACAACAACAACAACCTTGCTGAAAACATATATGTAATTTATGCTTTTAGTGGAAGAACTTAGTTAAGTAAGCGAATTTTGTAAAGATAGAGAAGGACATGAAAGCAGAAAGCTTGATTCATTAGAAAGAAAGGACTTCTGGCAAATTTCCAATATGATCACAGTGTAAAAACTAGTTCATATGCATTCTTCCCTTCTAACAAACTTTTTTCCCCCTACGGTTAACAGCAACAGTGTTTTCATAATATCAAAATGTATGAGCAGGTTTAAATAATTACCCACTGTCTGAATCAGCATTTATCAGAATTGCTTAATTTGGAGGAAGAGTGAAAAAATATGCAATGCTGGACAAAACATTTTATCAAAATAAAAGCATTATAAGCAGATGCAAAGTACTTGCTGCAACTCCAGAATCAAATCCACCATTAAATGAAACTTTGCTTTTCACACTGCAGATGCAGCATCTTAATGAATTAATAGAGCTGGCAATGAAGCATTGTCTATATTACAGCAGCTTTTTAATGCAGTTATGAATTCCTAAGACAGGAGTTCAAAGCATAAGCTTCTGATTCTCAAGACATTTTTTTTTGTTTTCAACACACACATTAAAAGTAACACCAGTAATCAATTACAAGACTAAAAGCAATAATAATTAAGGACTGAAAATTCACAGGGAAGGTATAATCTTCTGCTACACAGTATATAAAAAGAAATTCAAATAATATTTTAATGTTTTTTTCTTCTTTACAACCTACTGATATATTAGGCTTGGAGATCCATTATTAAAAGCCAAAGGTAAAACAAAATAAATGAGAAACACATAGAAGTTTGAAGAAAAGAATCAATGCTGACATCAATATAAGTTTTATGTTGCCTTTTTTTTTAAATCAAGAAATAATAATAGTGCCAAGCATCTATACAGAAGCTTATCTTTGCTTCTACTTCAAAAAGAAAAAAATAGTTCACTGTCAACATCATCTTTAAATGTAAAGATGTTTTATGCCTTTCTACTCCAATAACAGAAACATATACGAATAAATAGTATGGAACTGTACTTGGTACAGTCATCTTCTAATGCTCAACTCATTCTTCAGTAGCTTTAATGGCTCTTTTCCTTAGGAGAAAGGAGCAGTAAGCTTTCTTGGGTTCAGCAACAGCAGCACACCTGAAGTCTGATCAGTAGTGGTCATATAATCAGAAGAAAACAACTATTAGTTTATGTTTCATAATAACTTTTTTACTTGTGAAATGTTAATTGTAGAAGATTTCATTAGCAGCCTTATTTACAGAGACTGAATGCCAGCATCAAACAAACCCAATTTACCAATGACTCTCTGCCAACCAGTGGTGATTCACTAACTGAGCAAGTGAATTAACAATCAGTTTCTTACAAAATTAATAGTAGGCAAAAATATAACTTGGCAGTATTTCCCCCTTGTTAATTTGGATACTAATTAGCATAGTTATATAAAAAAAGATTAGAATTAAATATGTCAAGGTCTTGGAATTGATTGAATGTCTCTTTGCTTAATTAATCCAAATATTTAAATAAGCTTGTTCGTGTAATTTGGTGTTTCACCCAGAATCCCACTGACTGGCACATAAAATTATCATTTGTAGACTTATGTAGTTCCCTTTTGAAACCTGCAACTAAAATAAAGATGTAATTCCTTTACATAAAACATCTTTAAGAAGTCATGATCTCTGTTAATGAGCCAAGCACTTATCCTAATCTCTAACTGACCACCAGCTCTCACATAGCAGACAACTCATCAGGTCTGTGATTTTTCCTTTTATTTTTAAGTCTAGAATATTCATACAAACTACATTTCACCTATAAATTCTTCCCTGATTGCTTCCACAACTTAAGGGGGAGGAAAAACAAAAAAGTATTTTGGAAGTGGCAGTGGTTAGCAAAAAATTTTATTTTAGAAAAGCTACATATTTATAGCCCAGAAAGGAAACACCATTGTATCTTAATTTGCTATTTCCCTAGTTCTCTTAAAGCTACGGTCCTTGTACCATTCCTGGAGTGCTCTGTACTCAGTGTGATTTTTACTCAAGTTCTCTTTCACAAGACATGTTACAGTTTTTCTTTTTTCTTCCCCTGAAATCCTAACACTTAACTTCTGTAGGAATTTGTAACAAATTAATTGTCCCTAGGAAAACATTCTTCCTCTGTTTTTCTGAAACCGTGTACGCACAAGCTTAGCACAACAGCGAGTATCGAACAAAATTCAACTCTGTCCTTAGCTGAAATGGTGAGCGGATCTTAGTCCCCCTCCTCAAAACAGTGCTGCAATACCATTTAGGTGCAGCAAAAAATAATGCAAGGCAGTCTCTTTTGTTGCAGTCTAACCACACAGCTTTACCACTGAATGCAAAGGTACAGTGCGGTATCTTCCAAGTACCTATAAATTACGGAAAGCTTCTATCTGCCTAAAAAAGACTGGCTATTTTCTCTTTACATTTTAAAATAGATTGATATTATTAATTCAAAAGTCTTGTTTCACCTTCTTTTCTGTCCGTACAAACCTAATTTCAGAGAATTACTCTCACCAGTTAAAATAATTCTTGGACTTAAAATAATCACTGAACTTTGTAAGCACTTCTTTGCAACATGCACCTATTAACAAGAATACTGTTTGAATGGACTCCCTATTTCTTAAAGATGAAACGAACTTCAAAAGAGTCACATCTTATCCCAACTATCATAATGTTGACAAAATGATCACCCATTTTTTTTCCTTTTTCTTTATAAATGGGGCTTCAGGGTAAACCTGCAGAATGGATACAATCTCAGTAATAAAGCCTTACACTCTAAAAAAATGAGATGTTTACAGGAAAAAAAAAATGAAGTTCTAGTCCTGTTTTGCTGACTGTTAACTAATCAACTGGTGCAAGGCAGGACTGCTAAGAGAGGCTGTGTCCATCCTCGTGATAGGGTACATTTGCTGTTACAACAATTACAAAATACTACAACATCATACCTAAATGCACCACAGACACAAAGTGGAAGTGAAAAAGAGATTTCCTTTGCTTTCTTTTCAAAATAGAGGGCACAACTGTAACACTCTTACTAATACGGTGTTTATTAGAAGAATGAAATATTAATAAAGTGATAAATAGATAATAAAGAATGTGTGCTGCACAGCTCCAGATGGTTTACAGTTTTGAAATCACCATCTTGTGAAGATAAACAAAATGAGAAAAAAAAGAAATAGCTCAAGGATTTAATGCAATGTATTTATTCCTTTAAATGGCAAATACCTGTTTTCATGAAGATAGGACTGCAAGCACCAGTAAGTCAGCAAGCGGCTAGCAACCTATCAGAGTAGTATTTTTTCCAAACACAGTAGCTAAAATTTATAATAAAATTTTGACATATCCATAACACCTGTAGACTCATATTTATGACATTATAAATAACTTTCCACAAAAAGAAGCCTTTTTTTTCCCCCTGAACGTAAATGATTTTGCACTGCATTTTTCATAACACTTACACAGAACCTTTGCACGAGGAAACTGCCAATTAATCACTGGACATAAGTGGTTAAAACAGTGCTAAGAAACAATTTGACCAAAATCATTTTACTAATTTAATTGGACAACAATTGCCAAACAAGATCAATCTTAAACTCCATTTAATTCAGGATGCTACTTTGAGCAATGTTTAGCACCAAAAGTTTCAGAGGGAAGCCAAAGAAATATCACAATAATCTAACGAGTTTCAGCCTGGTAAATTTATGGAAAAAGCATCTACAAAGCACACTTAAATTCAAACTGTACTCCATTTTACGCATGGCACTTTAAACTATTCTTATCATTTAGTACGCACCTTACATTATTTCCAATTTATTTTAGATTTTAATAAATTCAGTAGCCTCAGAAACAGCAGTAAGGCCATCAGTTTAAAATCTACATGCACTTCCCCCAGTATTAACTGCAGAATATTCTGACTGTAGACTAGGTGCAAAGGCACATCTGAGCACTGAACCTTACATACTTACTTTAGACAGTATTTATTAAAATAAGAGCAATACTCTTCCCATGTGCCACATCACATTTGGTAAATAAAGGTACGTAAAGGTTTAAATGCAAATTGAGAAACAATCCGGAAAGATCAGATTAGGAAGAGACAAATATGCTTCATGCTAAGGAATAAAAAATATGTTACTTTAAAGCAGCCAAAAGGCAAAAAAGCTGCAGTGCATGCAAGTATGGTGAGACTTGGTAAAAATGAGCTGGTGAAGTTATCCTTTGAAACCTCTTAAGACACCTTGTAATTTTTAAAAATAATCTGCTTGCTTAGTAGAAACAGCTCATGATTATTTGTGAGGTTAAAATGCTTAAACAAAACAATCTCTCACCTATAGTTATCTAAAACCAATCGGCATCAAGGAAGTTAACCATGAAAACTCATAAACCACACGTGACAGTATTTTGTTTCTAACCTCTGCTGCCAGCTGCTGAAGAGAAGGGGATGCAACAGGGTGTAAAGTTGAGTTGCCTCTGACTGGATTATGGAGGCTAACGTAAGCCACAACATTTCTTTGAAGAACTCTCTTGAGATCCTACAACACAAGCAGAGCAACGGTTATTACTATGCATCGTTATAATTAAGACTTGTTTTGTTCTTTCAGTTCCTTCTAAGGAAAAACTGCACCCTACGTTTCTGTCCTCTCTGATTCCCTAAGTATTACTTAACTACTACTTCTTACAATATGCCGTTAAGAACTTCAAAGGATATCTTAGTGTTATTTCTCTATATAGCAAAAGTCATAATTCCATTTCACACATCATCTCCACAAAATGCAAATAGGCCGGGGAGGAATTAAAAGTGATTACACTTGCAAGGCCAAGAATGAAAATGTTACATACTCTGAAACAACGTGATGGCCTTTAAAACTTATGCCTGACCGAAGACAAACATCAAAAGTAATCATTATCAACAGTTAAATGCACTCAAATTTTTAGAGACCAAATTCAGATTTGAATTGCATCAGTTTTCCAGTATTTTCATTTTATTATTTTTTTAGCCTACAAAAATAGCATGTACAAACTGCTTCAATTATATCTCTTTTTTAAAAAGATCCCTTTTGCCTTCTCAGTAATGAGTTATTCTTTGCATGAAGTGGCTCTTTATATTGAACAGAAGGGGTGTAACACAATTACATCTGATGTAAAGCTGACTTGAAGTGGAACTAAACAAATTTTGCTTCCAGCCTGGATCTTTTCAATTTGATTTTTTCATCCCCTCTTGTTTTTGAAGAATAATCATGTTGGAAGTATGAAACTTCAATGAGAGCTAGCTTCTCACGCATGACAAAAAGCAATTAACTCTTCATTTTATCTACTGTTTTAATTCAGCAGCCACGAACCTCTCTGTTAGCTACTCCTTTAACTTATCAACTGAAATCTACCATAATCATATATGACCGACAATATCCTGATAAGGTATTTTCTTTCAACAAGGTGATTTCTATTCTGTTGAAAGTAAGAGCCCATGGCATTGTCTTTATCAGGTTGCACGTAACTCCTGAGCATAAATACAGGAAAATTGCATCGGCACTAACCATGGAGACACTGAAATGTTTCTGTAATTAATGTAAACCACAGTACAGCTCTTCATTCAGTGTGCTCTCAATTCAGTTCTCCCCACGCTAAGCCCATCTACTAAAACCAAGTAACTTGAATATACAAGAGGGAGAAAAAGCCTTCTAGGCTATTCCTGGGCCTAGCTCTTTTTTTTAAGTTTTCCACCCGCCATGAAATTTTGGCAATGTTCTCTTTTACAGCCTTCTACTGCATTCGAGAGGGGGATCAGACCACAAAGGTATATGCAGCCTTGACAGCCATAGGAACAGCTCTGCATCTCGCCATCACACACGCTCTGTTCCACATGAACTGCCTCTATAGATGCTTTCACTGTATTTTCTAGGAAGTACAGGAATGTATGCAGAAACTGAACTGTTTGCAGTATCTGTAACTGCTATGTGGTAATGACATTGTTTTCATGCCTTCAAGAAAAATAATCATGACTGTAATCAGTGCTTCTAACATTATTTTACCTCAGCCCATTCATATGAACCAATGTTGCCAAATGATGTTCCTCCCCACGAGCAGAAAACAATGGTCCGGTCGGGTCTCCAGCCTCTCTTAACCTTCAACATCAAGGCTTGTATAAATGCCGTGATGATAGCAGTGCTACTGGCCCATTCTTGCCCCCCATAAGTATTCAAACCGTTGTGATGGCTACCAACGATGATGTATCTGTCTGAAATGTCAAAAAAAGGACAGGCAAATGAATCTTATTTCTTCTGGATATAAGCATTAAAAGAATTAAGAACCTCTAAAAGACAAACTGTATTAGTAGTCTGTAATGTCAATACAACACAATGCTGTCAACAAAAATTTATATGATCATGTGCAAGACAATCGTACGATATACATAAAACTGTAAATACATAAATGCATAAAAGTAAACTAGTAAATAAGTATATGCATATATACTGCCCTAATTTAATCCCTACGCCCTTGCTTTTATTGTCTGCTTATTACTCTCCCTTCTTATAAATCTGATATAGACCATTTTTACAGCCAGGACTCTGTCACACAGATAATCTAATGAATTTCCATGCTCCCATTAGAGTGTTATGAAAAATCATAAATGAATAAGCAGGAAACTCTATCTTCAATACACATTAGCATCAAAGAAAAAAAGAAAACAAAAGGTGTGGTAGTACAATGTGAAACACAGAAAAATACACAAAGTATTAGTACTCCCTCACCTGGAAGACTGTGTTCAGTGCTCACCACCCTATCTCAAAAAAGACATTGCAGAAACAGCAGGTGAGAAGCTGGTAACCAGAACGGTTAGATATCGGGACTTAGACTTCCATGTAAGAAGACACTGAAAAGACCTGGACTGCAGGTTTAGAGAGGAGACATGACAGAGGAATAGAGATAATGAATGATACAGAAACGGCAAGTCAGACCTAGCAACTCTCGTGATACTGGAAGAAAGTTATAAAACGAAAAGCACAAAGTTTTAACCTGAAATAAAGAGATCGCCTAGAGTTATCCAGAAAAAAACATTTTTTTTTTTTTCAGAGAAATTAAATGATATCTTCATCTCCCAAGGCATAATGTACAATTGAAATACTAACTCACAAGTGTGAAGAACTTTATTTTATTCTGAAAGGATGATATGAACCAACATGAGTGACTAGTGTGATGGATGTGTGTCAAGAAGTCACAGCAGAGTTACGCTGAATGACTTCCAAACCTTTTGTGTGAGATCAATTCACAGCTGAAGCCTCTTTGAAAGGTTGCTTACTGGTTGTGTTCTGATATTTACTAAAGTCTCTCTGTCATCCAGATCTAGACTTTTAAAGATAAAGCTTTCCATATTTCAGGACACCGACAGAAAACAGAAGAATAGTTACCAAGCGATGTCAGTTCTACAACAATCTCTGTGTGATGTTTGGGTTCCAAAAGGTGCAAAAAGTTGTGGTTTTCTTTCTTTATTCAAAGGGATTAATTTTTCATTGTTGTTAGAAAAATGGAATGTTTTTATGGTTGCTTATGCAATTAATTATCTGCTCCTCAGTGATTTTGCAGCTACGGCTGCCTAGAAACAATTCTAAGTGATCACCAACATACTTTGATTATAAAACCATTCTCTGTCAAACTGGACTTCTACCAGTTTTGTTCAGCTAAATACATGGCGATATTGATTTATAAGGAATCAAAAATGTTTTACAAACAGGTGATCTGCTAAGTACCTATATCAACATTTTCAGTCAACTGCTCGGGGGTTTATAGGTACGTAAATGAAAATTTCTTTCTGAATGCAGATATGCAAAATGTGAATCCAAGTGTACTGAATAATTTGATGTAACAAAATGCAATCTAAATCACACAATTTTGCAACTTGTTTGCTGCATCATGAGACATTTAATTATAGGTTGCTCTGACAGTGAAAAATCATAGGATCTTCAACTTATTGTTAGGAACTGGGAACAGAAATTAATTGGTTTACAGGCTTCTCGGTTGTCAGATGAAGTGCTACTAACGCAGGGTGATCAGACAGGATCAACACTCGCCCCGTATTATGATCACTGTTCAGTCTGCGAACAGCATACATGAAAAAGAGTGGAAAGACACCTTATGTGAAACAGTATGGGACATTTTGATGGAGAATCAAGCTACAAGCAGCAACTTATTGTAGGAGATGCCAGCTGAATGAACAGGGGTAAAACATAACAGCTGGTGCCTCCTTTGAAATTCTTCATCTTTGCACATCTCTCCCTTTTGCATAGAGGCAACACCCTGAAGCAAATGACTACAGGAAAAGCATAGGAGAAAGGATGGTCATGCTTACAGAGGCAGCAGTTGTCCTTTCTCATAACTATTTACTGAAGCATGTAGAGAAAGATTACATGGTAAGAAAAAAAAGAGAGAAAAAAATGATAGAGAAAAAAATTTCTATTGGATACTTTTGAAAGCGATAAGCTGGGAAAATGTTCAGGGTAGCAGTGGGCTGGGCAACAGGGATCTCTCATTAAAAAAGAGTGACTTTATACTGTCTTCTCTTGTTATATATCTCATTTTCGGCCATGTCCAGAAGAGCTACAAACTATCACATGTCCAGAAGGGCTACCAACTATCACATTTCCTCTGCTTCTACATCTTTAAGTATCTTGGTGAGATTTCAGATGCTCATTGTTACTTCTCAGATCAAATGTCAAATAAGATCACCATTACATAGACAGGTTTGTATCTGTGTTGGAAGGCCTTTAAGCCAAAAAAACAGTGAAAAACCACCCTGGGTGATGCTCTGTGGCCTTTCAGTAAGCACTAAAGATAAATTTTGCTTTCTTTCTGGTATGACACCAGCAAAACCCCATCAAAATGATAGTGAATCAATGCCATGAAAACATGAAGTATTCATAGTAATTGAGAGGACACGGCTATAGTATCAATCAGGAAGAGCAGAGAAAAATGAAGGTTTAATATCGATTCTGTACAAAATGCTACCCATGGTGCATTACATGCTCCACTTGTGCTTACATTAGAAGCCAGTTGCTATGGCCCTTGTTCAGCAAGACATCTATGGGACAAAATGTTGGTATCAGTGTAGTGCTATAGACTTCATTTGATTATATATCCTTAAATTCTTACAGCTAAGCATATATTGATACACCTTTAAAAAGTAACTTTGTAAAGAATGCAACAATAAGATGAAAGATTCAGGTATTGAGAAGATAAAGAAGTTACTAAACAGAAACTGATGCATGCTTTTTACTTTTTGTCTTGCTTCTGCGTCACAATTCAGCAGACAGTTTGTTTAACGTGGCAGTTTCTACATCTCAAACTCCATGACAGCTGTTTGCAAAACATCAGCAATAGTAGACTAGTACCTTCAAATTTTTGAGGAAAATCAAATCCTTTATTGAAATTAAATTTGCTGTGCTAATCGTTTCCTATGTTGTTTAAAAGAAATTTGTTCTGGTGTAAAGCGCAGCATTCAGAGCACACAAAACTGAGTCATCATTTCTCTAACAAGAATAAGCTTACATCTTCGTCATCTCCTTCTTTCCATCACTTAAAATATGGAATGACTGGCCTACCCCCTAGGAGACTGTAGACAAGTATGCAACCTTTCTTCTGAACCTAATACAAAAGCATTAATCAAGGCAAACGTGATGATGTTTTGACGATGATGCCATCTGTACATGAGGAATTAGACTGGCTCTAAAACACTTTGCACCATGTAAGTAACCAGCAAGAGTGTTCAGTCATCATCAAATCTTTCCATGTTTTATCAAATTCACTCACAGACAAAATAAGCTCAAAAATGATCTTCATTCCTGTGATGTCCTGATTATTGTATTACGTACAGACAACATCAAAGAGGGGAGGGGGTTTGTAGTTAATGTCACAGTTGCATTTAGAATCTTATTGTTTAATTCTTAGCCATACAGAACAGTAATTTATTCATAGACTTGCATGAAACTAGCTTACGGCATGATTGTAAAACAAAATAAGGCTGCAGCAACTATGATCAAGAACTCAGTCACAGATTTTTGTACATCACAAATCACATTTGATATTAGATTCTAAGCTAAGCCAGAGATAACACTGTCCTACACCTTGGTTTCAGTGAGACACTTGAATTATGCAGAGATGTTTGGGACTTGAAGCACAGAGTTTTATTTATCTCAAAATTCCACTAACTTTAGAATAAAAAACTACCCAAAAACATTTTCTAAAGCGGTACAGACATCTTGCTTATTAGTCCAAATCATGCAATACAGTACCCTCTGAAATTAAAGCCAGTAACACAGTTACTTGGTATAAAATATTAATACTTTCTACGGTCTACATGTAATTCCTGTTTGTTGTGTAAAAATATTCTTATTATAACTATAATATCCCCTTGAGCTCATTCTCTGTTTCACCTTTACATTCTGTTTTGTTATAAACCAAATCACGGAATAACTACAACAAAGGTTCTCCCTGTCCTCTGTATTAGTGCATTATCCGGCAAAATAGAATCCTGATCCCAGCAGTGACTCCTAGCCATCACGAAACAAATAATCAATACAAATGAAAAAGGGCTACTTACCAGGAAATATAGATCCTTTTAAATATCCAATAACATTAGAAACTGTCTTGTAAGTTGTGACTGACTGAATATTCAGACTGATCATTTTTTTGCCTGCTAAAAAGAAAAAGAAAAAAAAGACAAAGAAAAAGAGAAATTTAAATTACATAGCACAGAAATCTACAGGCCGCAGTTATAAATTCCTCCTACATAAAAGTTAAAAAAAGAGTAAAACAAAGGAAAAAAAAAGTTACTGAAGAGGAACTAGAGATTAAAACATAAAATATTACTTTATTTTCTTATTTTAGCAGTAACACTCAAAGTTGGAATCTCAAAAGAGATCTCTACTCCTCGAGTTAAAAGATCATTGAATTCAGCCAATAAAAGCTGCTAGAATACAAGAGGAAAAAAAAAAGTATTAAGAAGAGTAGGACTTATGTAATTCTATGATAAGGAAATTTGTCTTAATCTTTATAGGTTTTTCTTACCTAATCATGCACCCAGGCCAATCTTTCAATAACATTCACAAAATTATATTTGGTTTATATTACACTATTCTTCTGTAGAAAATCCCCTATGCTAAATCAGATGGGACAAGTTAGACCTCTGCATTACTAATCACTTTGCCAGCACAGCCTTTGGCAATTTATTGTGAACTTATGCCAGCAGGAAACAGCTTTTGTTGGTTTAGCTGGTATCAACTGAGGAAAAGGCGCAAATACAAAGGCAGAGAAATTAAAAAACCTATTAAAGTGTAAGGGGCTTGGCAGTATGGCTGTGTCAGTCGAGACTGTAGCAGAGAAAAGTAAGTGTAAATAGCTTAAACAATAAATAACTGCCCTTTGCTGACAATTACTGTCATTCCCACTGTGCCCAGGATGGGACACACTAACCCCACTAACTCCTCCACTTTGTGGCAATGGAAGCAAAACAACTAACTACAGGGAGCCACCGGTACCTTTAAAATGTTTCGTTTGCATTAAAATAGATTGCATTAACATTCATCTCATCCCAAAGGTCATAACTTCTATCTGAGTCAAGCGAAAATGTCTTAAACCGCTCTAGTTTAAACACTAGCAATTGTCTGACAATAACCTCTGCATCACCCCAGACCTTCCCCGAGGTTCTCTCACGCCCGCGGTTACCGCACAACCCCCTCGACAGACCCATGTTTCAAGGCATCTTTGAGCCAGAATTCCTTCAATGTCCATATCCCAACTGTCACAGACCGATATTAAAATATTCCATGGACCATTCTGCGCTCTATCTCCCAGGCTATTATCCTCCCACTGATGTATTTCTAACAGTTTGTTTCCTGGCTTTGTTTTCTGCGATGCACAGAACACACAAATGGGGAGATTACTGCAACATGTAAAATAAAAACAATACATCTCTACAATACTGTTCTTCAGGGTTCATTTGGTAGTACTTCATCTGGTAAATTTACTTTAAAATCCTCTTAAAATCCAATGTAATTTCATTCACTTGTCTTCATTGATATTTGAAAAAGGCAAACCAACTGCTCAGAATTTTCTTTGTTTTAGAAAAATGCACCATCAATATTCACTCTACTTTCTACTCAGACAAAACCTCCTTCATATCAACAGACATGTCTTCTATGCGACAGCTCTGTTTGTGCCAGAATGCAACAGTAAAGAAAACGCAAGTCAAGCACAGCTAATTAAAAATAAAGCACGTCACACTATTTTACTTCTATGATTTTAAGTAATCGGAGTAAGTTAATATTTTGATCTGTCATGCATATTTGGGGGTTCAAGCCATAATTAAGTTTGCCCTTCTCATCTTAGCTACTGTAAGGTTTATTAACACCATGTGACGATGAATTTTGTTTGTTCTATAAATCTACAGATACTATTCTAGATTTTTAAAGAAAAATATTTTAAAAAGTACTAAACCAAAGGGCTCCCAGCACTGTACTGGCACCTATATTTTTTCTTGGTCTTTTAAAACAACATGAAAACAGTTTAGGGCTTCCATGTTGATTAAGCAGTTAAAAATTAATCTGTATTATGCGAGTTACTTCTTGCTGCTGTGTCTCACCTACAACCAATCTAGAGCCAATTTGCTCTGCTTAAAAATGATTTGCAAGACAAAACTGATTTCTTTTCTTTTTCTAACCCCACAACACTTCAGATATGTTTCTTTAGGCCCCACTTCAGACAAAAAGAAGATAAATCCTTTTGGCTTTTTTCCATAATCAACATCAACTATCCAGTCTTCAACTTGACAATAAAGAAACAGAAAATTAACTTCTGGCAATACACGTATTCTGGAATCAGATATTTGAGTTAATAGCCATGTAACACAGTAGTCAGCTTAAAGTGACTTGGGCTTAAAGGCTTAGTACACCAGATGAAAAGGCTGAAAGCACTCTTTGGAGCATACAGAAGAAGTGGAATTTAATCCCCTTTAAACAGTTCAGACAACAAACCTCTCTTTCTAATGCTATACTTCAAAGATCTTGACAACTTTCTTTTTTTTTTTTCCTGTATTCTCTAGAAAACTATGAGGAGATTTTGCTTAAAATTATTTGGGATACACTTTGAGTTCATGTAAGCCAAAAGCTACTTCTGAAATTGAAGGACAGAAAAGCATTTGTCAAAGTTATTTATTTATTGACTTGAAATCTGTAAATTGTCTCATACCACATGATTGCCCTTCTCCTCTCACAATTACATAGTTATACACATGGTTACTTTGCACATATTTGACTGACAAATACAGAACTTCAGATAAGCAAAAAACTACTACTTGCAGCCCGGAAAATGAGTTCTGACAGATGATGATGACTGGACTGTGAAGTGGACTGTGAACTGGCTCACAGAGTTCAGAGGGTTGTGATCAGGGGCACAGAGTCAAGTTGGAGGCCTGTGGCCAGTGGTGTTCCCCAGGGATCAGTGCTGGGGCCAGTTTTGTTTAATATCTTCGTCCACAACCTGGATGAGGGGATAGAGTGCACCCTCAGCAAGTTCGCTGACGATACAACACTGGGAGGGTTGGCTGACACACCGAAGGCTGTGTTGCCATCCAATGAGATCTGGACAGGCTGGAGAGCTGGGTGAAGGTGAACCTTGTGAAGTTCAATAAGGGCAAGTGTAGAGTCCTGCATCTAGGGAGGAATAACACCAGGCACCAGGACAAATTGGGGGTCGCCCTGCTGGAAAGCAGCCCCGTGGAGAAAGACCTTGGAGTCCCAGTGGGCAGTGAGTTGTCCATGGGACAGCAACGTGCCCTTGTGGCCAAGAGGGCCAGTGGGATCCTGGAGTGCATTAAGAAAAGTGTGTCCAGCAGGTCTAGGGAGGTTCTCCTCCCCGTCTATTCTGCCCGGATGAGACCACCCCTGGAATCCTGTGTCCAGTTTTGGGCTCCCCAATTCAAGAGAGACAGGGACCTACTGGAGAGAGTCCAACGGAGAGCTGCGAGGATGATTAAAGGACTTGAACATCTCTCCTGTGAAGAGAGACTGAGGGAACTGGGGCTGTTTAGTCTGGAAAAGAGAAGGCTGAGAGGGGATCTTATTAATGTGTACAAATACCTGGGAAGTGGGGGTCAAGTGGAAGGGACCAGTCTCTTTTCAATGGTGCCCAGTAATAGGACAAGGAATAATGGGTTTAAGTTAGAATATAGGAAATTCCATCTAAACATGAGGAGAAACTTTTTCACTGTGAGGGTGACGGAATCCTGGCACAGGCTGCCCAGGGAGGTTGTGTAGTCCTTGTCTCTGGAGACTTTCAAAACTCGCCTGGACGCCTTCCTGTGTGATCTACTGTAGGTGATCCCGCTCTGGCAGGGAGGTTGGACTTGATGATCTTTAGAGGTCTCTTCCAACCCCTGACATTCTATTATTCTATGACTTCTTTTGTGCTTTCAACCTTATCTCAAGCTCACAGTAACACAGAATAATTTAATTTTGAGCCTGATTTTAAAAAATGTTAGTTAAAATCTTGGATCCTGATCATACTAAATACCCATAGTTACACAATTTTCTGAGCGTTCTTAGAAGTACTGGATTTTTAAAAGCATCATTAGGAAATCAGATTTAAATCTGAGCTAATTTGACAAGATTTTTGCTACTCAGACACAAAAAGTCTCCTACATGCACATTTAACTCCAGTATAGAAGCAGCAAGTACTAACTGAAGTCATGCATTTCGATAACATAGTTCTTAGATCATAAAACCAGAAGTTATTTCAAAAGATTGCAGAAACAAGATACACTGAATAACTTCGAGTAAACCAGTTTTTAACACGAATCTAATTCCTGAACCAATATAAACCACACCTGAATAAATTTACATCAGTTTGAAATCACAATTAAAGTTTAACTTTCAAACATCATCAAACACCCATGGCCATGTTGCTCAGGGGCCACTAATTCATCTGAAGCAGTCAGGAAAAAATGACATTCAACAGATTTCTTTTCCTAGTTATTTGAAAATCTTAAGTCAGGCTCTAATAACTCAACTGCTAAGTCTTTTGAGCACACGTTACGAAGCTTTTCAGACACCCCTTAATGGTCCTATTTTTTTTCAATAATCAAAGTACAGTTTTCCTAAAATTAATTGCCCCAAGAATTGAGGCTTTAAAGTAATATCAAATACCACAGAACACGACAATGCAGTAAGAACTGCACTCACTTTAGAAACACCATAAGCTATTTACATGTAACAAATAATCAAATATGCAATAAATTTCTTACATTCGATTGGTGATAATGTACAGAATAACATGGACTGGTATGTATTATTTGGAATACTCTGTTAAATACCCTGATATATCATAAGTATACATGAGAACATATAACAGTAGATATTGCTGTCATTTGAAACAAATGCTTCACTTTCATTAGACATTTTCTAGAATAACTGAGTAAAATGCCAAGCTACTACTCCAATACTAGATCGCCCAGTAAATGTGCTTTTTAAAAATCTTACTGGACTGTGAAAAATATATTTCTGTTTGTTCTGAGTATTTTATCACGTCTACTTCAGTGCAAAACCTTATCTACATTATATTTTATATCAGTTTTCAATTAAGAGCATGACTTTAAAAGAATAAATTTATCATCATAAGCAGTTATGTAACAATAGAACT